AAACGGGATCGGGTTAGTCAACCTCCCCGAACGAGACTCTGCCCTTCGGTGGAGCCTCGTCCGGGTTCCTCTCTGCTGTGTTCACTGTCAAGCCGAGAAGCTCGGCTTGATTCGACCCTCTTTCTTGAGAGGCGTAATATGCATCATGTTATGAAGAGTTCATTCTGTAGTTATTGGTAAAGACCCATGACAGTAATGTTAGAGTTTAATATATATTTTTAAATAATTTAGTCGCTATGATTTTATTTATATTTTATCTTCGAACCTGTCATTGATGCAATAGCTGCGTATTTATTTATGTTATAAAATATATTATAATTGAGAAATTCTAGATGCATTATGGAAAAGAACAACTATAAATTAATCAACACAAACATAGACAAAAATATTATATCAAAAATTAGAAAATTCTGCGCAACACATAATAAGATATTAGCAACAAAATAAAAGAATAGGACTATGTTGCTGAAGTTAAAAACAGGGAATAAATTATATCGTTGAGTATAATATGTCCGTAGTAGAGCCATGTATATGTACATTTTGTTGACAAATTTTACAATATTATCCTTTAAAATCTCAATACCGTTACTTCATAGATTATTGTAATATTTTGCATTTTAAAATTACAATACATGTGTACACTCTTTCTATGACGATACAGTGTAACCCGAATATAAGAGAGTTGTCGGGACCGGAGAAGAAGTCTCTTATATCCGGGTTTCTCTTATATCCGGGTTTGGTCTATTTTGTTTAGGTAAGTATGGGAACACTTTGGGACCAGAGAAAATCTCTCTTATATCCGGGTTTCTCTTATATCCGAGTCTCTTATATCCGGGTTACACTGTATAATTATAACGGGGTTATTTTTGTCATCAAACCGAGGAGTATGAAACAACAGCCTCCCAGCATGATTTATCACCCCATTTTTCAAGCTGAAAAATTAAACAAATTACATAATTGTTACAACAGTAGGGCCTTTTTTGTAACATTAATATTATCAAAATATGACTATCTTGTATATTCGCTTTATTGGCTTTACCTTTTTTAAGACAAAAGAAACTCAATTGCGCCGATTACGAAACTAATATGGCCGAATATCAAGTACCATGTGTAAACAATTATTATCAACAACAACCTAATTTATGTTTCATTGTTTATTGTGGTGTCTGTATTTCCAATCTTAGTTTAAATAGGACAATTTTTAAGCCGATCGAAAATTGCTAAATGCTTGTTCATGTGTATAATACGAACCTCCGTTGTCGCATTTAATATTCTTTCAAAGTGAATTATATTGTACAGTAGAAAGTATGATATATATATATATATATATATATATATATATATATATATATATATACTCACCCGGAGAATAGTTCTCTGTAAATTAACAACACGAACATATTACATAGGGCAAACTACAATACTATTACGAAAATTTACCTGCCACATATAGGACTAGAGTGCAATCACACATTAAAAAGCAACATAATGATCATAATAATATTAGACAGTTACACACAAAAAAAGCCAAATACTAGACAAACTAACGGTCATCGAACCAATCTTGTTACAACAAAGACAACCATCTATAAATAAAACTTTTATAATTTAAGAATTCAGAAACACAAATACATATAGAAATGAATAAAAGTAAAATTAACACGCACGCAAACGTCACATCTAGCCTACGTGAACAAACTCTTTGATTAAGACACAAATCTCACCAGGTCTAGGCAACAAAACTTTTCTTTCTACCAAGCCTGATGTTGATTTAAGATAGTTGAAACCTTGTTTCATGTTTCTTCCAAAGTGAATTGACTAAATTTCCTATTTAACTGTGAAGGACTATTCGTAATTTGAAAAAGTCGATCAATATAATTAATCAACACAGAACATCTGTTGTTTTTAATACCATATATATATATATATATATATATATATATATATATATATATACAGGACGCTTCAAATGTTTGACGCCACTCCTGGTAATTTTTTTAAAAATTGGCCTAAGAAGTAGTTATTATACATGGTTGATTAACGAGACATGACTTTTTCATCAAAATTTTATTATGACAAAAAGAAAAAGTAGCTTCTATGATTAAATTTTGCTTTTGTCGAATTATCCTCATTTGGCCTTGATTACTGCAGCACAAATCTTTGGCATTTGTTGCAAGAGTTTATCGAAGTTTGATAATTGATTTTATACTTTTTTTTCAATTACTGCAAGAATTTTTTCCCATTTTTTTCATTCTTCTGCCACTTTCATCCCATGAAAATTCTGGGGTGGGGGTGGCTTCAAACCTCTCATCAACCGACTAATATTGGGATGGGTGGTCCGTTAAAGGCGATTGTCCGTAGAAAGGGAGGGATTATTTTTTAGTTATAAAACCATTATAGTAACTACCAGTAGTTGTGATGATAATGTAAATACTATAAACATATATATATGGCATAAATACTTATATTCTTAATATAGATATATTAATCAAAACAACAAAAAAAGTAGATTTCTCACAGCTACTTTCTCATGCACGCGCTAAAGTATCGTACTTTATATACTGTACACCCGTCTTTGTTTACAATTGAAAGGCCCGCCACTGCCACCAAGCGGTCACTTTGAGAACTAATACGACTCGTTCCGCTAAGCACGCAAATTTTGAAATGCATCGCTGACGAAGTATTTATCCTGCAAAACTTTGTTTAATTTTGCTTGCCGATTTTGTCCGTTGAAGGGGGATCCGGAGATGAAAATTTTGTTCATATATATATATATATATATATATATATATATATATATATATATATATATATATATATATAGAGAGAGAGAGAGAGAGAGAGAGATAATATTAGTGGTAAATATACACATACATATGCAAAATATATAAAGACTCTCTCCCCCACCTCTTTTTCTTTTCTTTTCCGCTCCCTCCCTCTTCTTCTGATATTTAAGTTTAGATCGTCTATTGTGTGTATGTCACCACACAATATATCCTTTCCGGTTACATCTTTAATGTATTAAACATCCGACAACATACATATTTCTCTAACTTAAACCGTCTTTGACTCCTCTCTCTAAAACTTCTGTCTGTTAAATTTGAATCCCCCACCTTCTCTCGTCTGAACCCCTCTCTTTAGCTCTAACATTCGTCCCACACTCTCATATTAGACTCTCTCTAAGTTTTATTTTTTATTTCCGCAGTTGTTTTTTCTGTTTTCTTTTTGAATTTGTAGGTTTGATGAATTGGATCGTATTTACTATTCCAATGGAATAAATTATATCCATGGAATGTTAGTGTTTAAACCTTTTTTATTATATATATATATATATATATATATATATATATATATATATATATATATATAATACTAGGCGTCATAAGCCTTAAGGCTTCGGACAAATACCATTCGTATACTTTACAGAGCTATGAAGCAATGGAGATATATGCGTTTGTCTTTAAATAGCATTTGTAAATTCATTTATTTATTCATCCCTTTTCTGACTTCTTTAATTTCTAAGGTCTTACCTTTCTTTCGTTAGCCAATTTTGTCCACGCTAGCTTCTTCTTCTTTTTCTTACAACAGCTTTCTTCTTTTATCTCTTTTAGGTTTCATTTCTTTATTTTTATTCTGTCTTTTCTTTCACTCCTTGTAGAAGCTAATAAGCTTTCTCAACAAAACAATCCCATTTTATTTTCCGATACGTATAGAATAAAATCATCGTTTATCTCCACCCTTGAACTTTGCCTTTCTTACCTGTAATTTCCTCTGCTTTGTCGTTCTTTGTAAAATCAGAATTTCTTCTCGGAAACCAAACAAGTACCGAATGCAAGTAAACTGGAATCGATGAAGCGAGATGTGCGCTTGCAGAATTATTTTTTTTTATGATTCATTCCAGAATTTAGATTTTATGACCAATACTCTTACTGAAAAATGAAATCATCATGAATATCGTGAATTCTACGTCGGTAAATAATTGCCCTGTTAAATATTTATTTGTTTGGATAGGAATTTTGAGAAGCGTAGACCTAAAGATATTCCAATGTATTACAATAAGTTTGCCTGTAGGCTTTCTCATTCCCTAATTAATACTGCAAATAACAAATTCAATACTATGAAAATTGCATTCATTCCGAGAACGTGATAAAAGCTTCAAACAATCAGAATAACCAAATATTTAAACATTATGATTTTATTTTGTGTATCCTATAACAAAAGATTAATGTCTCAATTTTGAAGTGTCATTTTAATTACAATCCTTCTGATTTCATTATATCTCATAAAAGTAATTCTTAATAAAGTTTGTACGCATTTATCTACAAACACGCAAGCATTTATTCAAACATTTTCTGCCTAAGGACAAGATATTAAACAAAAAGATAGAATTGTATATAATAGTGATATTTTTTCATAAACATAGAGGTATAATCACTATATATCTTGTTTTTTTATATAATCCATACTGTGTGACAAAGAATGATCAATATCGGAGTGTGTTCGATTATAGGTAACGAAGCAGTACTATCAGCAATGACATCATGACTCAAAAGAAAAACGACTAATATTCCATAACCGGAATCCAATGAACCGTATTTCCAATATTAAACTTTCGAACCAAAGTCTGAATAAACTTAAATAAATAATTAAAGTAAAATAATTGATTCATTAAAAAAAGGATAAAACAGTGTATCCTATATATACTATATCGAAATAAATTTTTGAAAAAAAATTAAATTACTATGAATGTAAATTAATTTCATGAAATTGAAAATTAAAATGATCAAACACATGGTCATGTCTATAAATAGTCTAACAATTAACCCCTAAAATATAAACTGAAGATAAAAAAAATAGTTTCTTTCCTCATCCATTCATATAAGACAGGATCCCATATATATATATATATATATATATATATATATATATATATATATATATATATATATATATATATATATATTGACCACAAAATATAGCTCATAGTCTGTTTATCACAGACACAGTAAATGTTAATTTCTGTGTCCACACTGATTCTATCTATCTATCTATCTATCTATCTATCTATCTATCTATCTATCTATCTATCATATCCACTATGAACACAGCTACAATGTGCTGACCGTGTTTGGAAAATAAAACAATCCTATAGCACTAGATATATGCATAGAATAATGCATGCATCCAGTTAAAAGTTAAAGTAAACTTATACTTGATAATGGAAAAAATATAGTTGAAAGCTCTCAGACATACAAAACATTCTGACAATTTCTACAGAATTTACACAAAAGAAAATTACAAGAACTCAAGGAACATTAAAAAAAAAAAAATCTTAACCGTAGTACCTTGTCAGTCATATGTCTTAGAACTTGCATAAGGCAGTGACTGCTGCCCAAATACAAAATCATATATATATATATATATATATATATATATATATATATATATATATATATATATATATATATATATATATATATATATATAGCTCCCCCACGGGTTGAGCACTCGCGCTATTCTTTGAACGAAAATGGATAAATTTTTTAAAACATTAATCAGTTTGTCTGACGATCGCTAAAGCGTGAAACCCAGGTTCACAAACTCACATCTATCCAACCTAATATGTTAGCTCTATCTCTGATACTGAGCGCTTTCTAATAAGTACCATATATAATATATAAATAATTATACATATATATATTTATTTATATTTATATACACTTTTCACACACACACACACACACACACACACACACACATATATATATATATATATATATATATATATATATATATATATATATATATAAAAAAAGAATACCAATGTAATTTTACAGAACATTATTGTCAGAAGGCAGACATCCCTTAATCTTTTGTTCGATCAAATTATTTCTTCTATCTTCATTGATTACAATCTTTATTGGTATCATTACTGAGAATAGCTCTTCAAGTAGTGGTGGCATCTTCACGTCGGCATTTCAAGTTTGATTACCTCGTGCCGTGATGATCGTAATTCGACACCGACCTTGCAAGGTGCGAAACGTCAAATAGTCACAATTCTAATTAAGTTTCATCAGCTCCTCCAATCGATCTTCGTTTGCCGTTCTTCGAACCTCACTTATTATCCAATTTGTTCGTTCCAACTTCGATTTGCTGATGTTTCCCGCTTGATGGTGAAGTTGCTTGGATGAACGAAGAAAATCCGTGTAAGCTCGTGGCGTTTGTAATCGGTTGAAATCAGTAGCAATGGAAGGAAATGAGAACGACATAAGGCTATCAAGGGACCTTCTTAATAGAGCTGAACTCATCTATCATGTTACAATGGACGATTATCTATCTATCTATCTATCTATCTATCTATCTATATATCTATATATATATATATATATATATATATATATAAATATATATATATATATATATATATATATATATATATATATATATATATATATATATATATATATGGATATATATATATATATATATATATATATATATATATATATATATATATATGGATATATATATATATATATATATATATATATATATATATATATATATATATATATATATATAGGTGAAAAGTAACGCCCCATTTTAAAATACTTATAATTCATTTATTAACAATAATTTTTAAAAGAAACAGATCTGAGAGAAAAGTGTTTAGTATGAAGTTTTATTTAAAAATGGATCTGGTAACTAGATTTAGCTCCTAGCTTTTCGGGCCATATATATTCTTCTGCACCTTATATTTTAACTAAAAGAACTAATCCGACGTGAAAATGCCCGGGATAACAACTGAGACATTACTTATCGAACTATTTAACTATTTAGTTTATCCCACTTTGACTGATAAACTCCTCAGCTCTTGATAGACCCAAATTTGCGTGATGATTTTGAACTGAGATTGGCGCCAGAGCCGAGTTCGAAACCGACAGAACAAACACGGGTAATATCAATACGTCATCCGTGTCCTCCTTTCCCTGGTTACTGGCGAAGTACATATATATATATATATATATATATATATATATATATATATGCATGCATAATTGATTAAAAAACAATTAAATTCTATTCTGATTATATTTTATTTACTTTTTCAATATGCCAATGAATTTCTCTAATTTGTCTTTTGTATTTATAAATACCTTTTCCTCTGTCTAAGAACTTTAGGCTAATATGAGCCATGTTGGGTTCTATTATCTTTCGCCTATGCAAGGGAGTTCGTGCCTTCCAATTTTTTTGTTAGTAAAATTTAGTGTTTGGTGTTTGGTATTTGACGTAATTTTGGTGGAGTTATGGATGTTAGCTTTTTATGCTCAAAGCCCCTTGTGCCTGTAGTAACTTTTTGCACTCATATAATCTTAACAATTTTCTGATTTTGCCTTGTGGCTTCCATTTGTCTGGGCGATGATATAACTTTTTAATGAAGTTATTGTCATTGGAATGTTAAACAGCGTGATAATGTTGTCATAGTTAAAGCAATGCATGCATTTGAATTGCAAAGATTCGATCCCCAGAATTACATATTCATGATTTTTTAAATTTCTTTTTCAGTATTTCTAAGAGTAGGATGGAAAACAAATTCGAAAACAATCGCGCCTTCAGTTTCTCTAAAGTAAAACAAGCCATTTATTCATTGTATATTGGAGAGCTCATGGTGTTTGTAAAATCGAAAGAGCTATTCGTAATTACACAATTATCTGCAATCTGAAGTATTATTATCATCCCGGCATATCTCATAATTTAGCGTATAAATATACAATTCCACTCAGTGATAAATCTAATCTCCATAGATTTGCTGTCATTTTTTTAGAATAGCTAGCTAATCATGATTCGACGGCGAGATGCCTCGTATAGTTTAGGTCAATATACAAAATGGCAACCATCAACCCAGTTCCAGAGAGAATAAGTTTTAATTGAATATTCTACGTATTTCATTACATTTTTTAAATTATCGTACATGTTTCGATTTTATGTCTTTCTTCCGTTTATCCTCTTCAATATCATCTTAACTTTCTTCTATTCTGTCTTGATTTCCATAACTTTCTTTTCTTTAGTTATCGCCAACGATGTTTTATGAATATATTATTCAATATTTACCTTCTCTTTTTCCCCTCTCTCTCTATTTCTCTCTCCTTATCTAATATCTTCTTTCCTATTCTTATTTAGTATTTCCTTTTTCGTCTATTTTCATGCATACTTACGCCTTTTAACATCGAAAGTTTTGGATTCTAAGGTGGCCAGCACAGGTAAATTCTCTTCATGATGAAAGCGAAAAGAAATGCAAAAGTTCTTCGAATAGTTACAATATATATAACACAAAGTTTTATTCTGCCGTAGTAACTAGAAGCGTTCACTGTAGAAAAAGTACATTGCTATGGTTTCTAACTTTTACTTGTTTAAATCTCGCGTGAACTCCTGCGGCAAACGATATTCTCGCACAGGGCGAATAAATTCAAGTTTCTTACAAGAACCTATTTGTTGAAGCCAAACAAATAATCTAGCTTTCAAATGCATTGTGAATATTCGTCACAATCATAAAACCCCATAAGAACACACACACACACACACACACACACATATATATATATATATATATATATATATATATATATATATATATATATATATATATATATATATATATATAAATGTGTGTGTGGGTAATACGTGTGCGTGTTAATTATATGTTTTTCTTCCTAAAAAAGATACATTCATTATCATTATATACACGTACTGTGTGCTCAATACATTCATCCGTGTGTCACATCTTATCTCCGGTTAGTAAATCGCTATATATATATATATCTATATACGGATAGATATATGCACTCGTAATTATTTTAGTGTTTGAATATGTTCTTAAATAGAGTTAAGGGTAGGAGAGGTACATTCATACACTTCCTAGATGAATATTACGATGCTGACAGGAATTAGAACTCTTCACTCCGATTTCAGAAACATTATCCACATATATATATATATATATATATATATATATATATATATATATATATATATATAAGAAATTAGAATTAAAAATTAAAATATATAGCTATTAAAAGTTTCTGTTTTCTTTTACATATATATATATATATATATATATATATATATATATATATATATATATATATATATATATATAATGTAAAGAAAACAGAAAATTTAAGGATCTATGTCATAATTTATTTCCCCAGGGAGTTTCTTTTTCCCCGGCTCATTATACTTCACTTCCAAGGATGAAAAAATGAATTTAAATTTAAATTTAAATTCATTTTTCAAATTAAAATAATCGCTCTGATTTAACATTGAACTCTCCGGATTTCATCCTCCTTGGGATTATCTATACGGATTACCAAGATTCACTTTAATACATACACACACACACACACATATATATATATATATATATATATATATATATATATATATATATATATATATATATGTGTGTGTGTGTGCGTGTGTTTGTGTGTGTTTGTGTGCTTTGTGTGTTTTGTGTGTGTGCATGTCTATTTTAAAATGGATTTATGTAGAATGAATGCAAATAATCACATAGGAAAGCTTTGTCGAAATGTACATGTGGTATATATAACTGCATGATGACATGCATTAAGAGATCAACATTTATGCAGTGATCTATATGATCTGAGCATCGTCTAAGTCATGAAACATTCATTTACATGCAGTGTGGATTTCTACACTGTGAGTCAAAATTAGGTTTGCACTTTGTAGATATGCACTTTATATGTTTTTAAAAACATTTTATTAAATTTAGTTTTATTAGTTATAATCATATTAGTTCAAATCTGCTTATGCATATTTGATTAACACTTTACTTATATTTATTTTAGCATTGTTTAAACCCTTATATGCTCAAAATGGCATCCTTCAACATAAAATATTCCATGAACCTCTACAGACCTCTATGATACACTGCATTTCACAAATCCAGATCTGCATCAATTTCAATATACACTTCTCAGATGTACTCTTCTGATTCGTTCACTGTGGTGAGATTTTCGCTAATAATCTTTGTTATTTACTACACAACAAAAAAGAAAACCATTTTTGTTAGGTCAGGTGAACGTGATGGCCACTCGATGTTGC